TCCCATCCCCTGCACCACACAGTGGAGGCTCTGAACAGTTCTTTTAGCACAAAACTGTTACATCCCCAGTGTAAGAAGGAACGTTGCCGTAGGTCGTTCCTCCCCACAGCCATCAGACTGTACAACACATCACTGCAGCGATAAGCTAGGTGAAATTATGAGGGACTATGCAATAGTCAACTGAGGTGCAATACTCAAATCCTGGGGGTAAATATGCAAATGTGTAAAATCTTGTCCTTGATTTCTCTCAAATACTTTATATTGTCTTGTTTTACGTATTTTTGAGTAGTCTTTCAGAGATCATCATGGCTGAAATACAGGTATTTTCCCCATTGTGGAATTAATTATGGGAGTAATATTCTTGTCCTTGATTTCTTGATCTCTTGAATACTGTATTTTGTCTTGTTCTTAGGTATTTTGATTTGTTCTCAGGGATTAATTATCATTCTTGTTCTCGATTCTCTCAAATACTATATTCTGTTTGGTCTTAGATACTTTGGAATTTGTTTCTCAGGATATGTGTGTGGTGTTTGTTCTTATGGTGTTTTGTTGCTGCTCTCTATTGCTGCTGGAACACAGGAATTTCCCCATTCTGGGATCAATAAAGGCCTACCTAACCTAATCTAAAAGCATGCCACTGGTTCTTTACAAGTGTGAATTCCCATTCTCTGAGCTGCTGCTCACATCTCAGTTTGTTGCAATCACAAATTCTTTGGTATTATCATGTTTTTCTTTTGTGGTCCAGAATTCCATTAGAGAGGTATAAGAAAGTCATTGATGGTTACAGGAAGTGATTGATTTCAGTTATTTTGTCCAGAGGGTGTGCTACCAACTATTAAGCTGAGGGTGTCAATAATTATGTCCAGTCTGTTTTTGGAGTTCCATTGGGAACTTGACTTTTTGCAGAAGATACAGAGATGGTACTCCCTCTGGTTTTATAAAGATTGGATGACTCGTTACACCCGTACTTTCGCAGTGACCCCTACAAGATCCCACATGCGCAACTTAACAATTTGTATTTAGACCACAAATACACTGGTTAAGGCAAGATATTTTCACTAGATTTTTAAGCGTCATAATGACGCTTAGTTTCATGAGCTAGCAGCGTAGCTCATATAATGATGGGTTAGTTGTACAGCTCTGCTGCCACTTCCTTGCCTACTTTGTGGTCTTAAACTTCAGCTTTTCTATTTCCCTTAAAGGTTCACCTCACCAATTATGCAGTTATGGGAAATTTAACATCTATTGTTTTTGGAGCTTAACCCATAATTGGAAATAAAGCTTGTGAAGTTTTGGTCACTACTTTTTTTTTTACCATTGTTTTATAAATTCTGGCTCTCACAAGTTTTCCAAATTTATGGAAATAAAATAGTTTAAATGCTGGAACTTAATTTGATTAACTGAGTTCACACTGATCTTTTGAATCTTGTACTGTAAAGCACTTTGGTGTGCCTAAAAATGAGCCAGGTACTGTCCCTTTTTCAAGTTGGCTGCTTTCACACTGGTTTGCAGCCACGCCCTATTGGATTTAATGCAGAAAAAGCAGTGGGATTGAAAAATGCTTGTGAATGCTTTCCAAAAGGCATCATAGGGAGTAACCACCTAATCCATGCCTTCATCATTAGATGACCAGAGTAAAAAGGGGGCGTTAATTTTAAGATCAGGGAGCATTAATGCAATACTGCACTAAAAATACTGGAATTAGTGCAACCACTTTCCACATACATCCGTTTTCACTGCCAGGTCTAAGTGGACAGGAAGCAATCCCCGAATTCCCATTGTTGTTTAGCCCAGAGGAACACCAAATAGTTGGCCAGTTCTGTTTCCTTTTAAGTTGTTGTGCTTTTCCCATTTGGTCTGCCCTCTTTCTCGTTCCCCTTTTGACTACATTCCTGTGCTCTGCCTCTGGGATTATTGGCTCTGGTTCCAGGCAAGAGCCAATTGTTAGCTCTAGATTTCCTCCAGTATTGAAAAGGAGTGTGTACATGTGTATGTCTTGATCTGCACGTTTGCATCAAGCTTCACTGAGCCTGGAGTTCACAGCAACAAATCTGGCTTACTGAACCATTAAGCTTAAAAGTGCACTCAAATATTTTCCTTTTCTTTTGTCTGGTGAAGACTCTCTTGCACGCTCCCAGTCTGTGCTGAAGTGTAAGGGTGAAGGCAGCTTTCAGTAGAATGGAGAGTCCCCAAAGAGCAGTTTGTGCAATGAAGCCTTTCCACTGTCTGCTGGTTTTATGTGGTGTATGTGTCTACCACATGCTTTTGGTGTGTGTGCAGACACATGGATTGCTTTTTCTCCCTGATTTTTACTTTAAGCGAAAAATTCCTCATTTTCATTCTTTGTAGATGCAAGCCACATAACCTGCTAACCAGGCTAACGTTGAACAGAAACCTAGAACACAAAGAAAAATGAAAATTCACCTTGATCAAGATGGATTTAGTGTATCAAAATGCAAAATTTAGATCCTAGTAAGCATTCCTAAGCATTTCTTTGGGTATGTTTGGAGACATTATAGCAGCTTGTTAACAAGATTTGTTCCTGATCAGGCCATTGTAGACCAAATATGAACTGAACATAGGCATCTTCAATAATCAGGCAGTAAAATCTTCATAGGATGCTTTCATGTAGGCAGCCTTGGAGATGAACAAGATTTTGCAATGTGTAAAAGACTATTTTCCCCACTCAAGGCCAGGTTACTGATAAGGGGTTAAAACATCATTGCCACCTATAGATTGTTGCCTTGGTGTGGATGTTGTGCTCTGCTCTGGATTGGTCTGTTATGGGAGAGTAATGAAATTAATGGCTAGGACATAACATTTTGTTTCCCCAGCTAGAACTGCTCACCCCACACACACACACAGTGTTTTCACTCCTTGTGGGGACTTTACATTGACTTACATTCATTTTCTGTAGTCTTATCCTAACACTTAACCATAACCACTACTTGCCTAACACCTAACCCTAAACTATGTTACTGCCCTAAAATTCAGTGATGGCCGAGTCCCCAATGTGATCGTGTTAACAGCTTTTGGTCCCCATAATGTAAGTATAACAAAGTTACACATACACAGAAGGCCAGCCCTCTCAGATAGTGACGTCTAAGTGGGCGCCTGAGAGGCCATTGCTTGGATCATGATTCCACTGTGATCCACACGGCAAATCTTGTTTGCCACAGCATAGACACGCAGTCCCTTTTTTCCAGTCTTGTGTTTTTGTCCAATTTTCTGGATTTGATTATTATCATTATCATTCTTTTTGCCTTGATTGCAGAAAGCAACCAGTGTTGTAAGTTGGGTCTGACTGCTTGATCAGACAACCACATGTACCCTCAAACAGCAATGAAAAACTTCATCAACATTGGACTGTATTTTCAGAAACATTTTATCTGTCCGGACTGTACACTCTGGGTGTTATCTAATCAAATATTCACAGATCTTTCTTTTCTCACAGGTATGTAGATGCTATTTGTTCCTGCTTCCAACCTTCTTATCTTCCTTTCTCCTCACAGGGTGAAGATGGAGGAACAGGTCCATCAGATGGTAAGGAGTCTCTTTTTCCTATTAATAATTGTACTGCCACCTTAAGAAAACCTAGGTATTGAAGCTAAACAGTACATGTTGGTGGTCATACAGAGCTGAGAAAGCAGCATACTAGGGTTGCAACTAATGACTGTTTTAATAATAAATCTGTTGATTATTTTTATGTTTAATCAATTATTCAGATTGATAAAAACGTGCAGAACTCGGTTTTCCACATTATAAAAACAATGCATTCATTTAAACAATGATTTTGCACTGTTTCTAAACATTTTTTGTTCAAAAATATGTTTCTAAAGTGCACAACAAGACCTTAGTGTTAAAAAAGACTTAAATGTTAATGATTTAAAATGATTTATATTTTCATAAAGCAAACCATGCTAATATAAAGAATCAGTACACATATAACTACTACTGTTAACAGTTAAAAGGAAATCTGAGTATGCCTAAACAGTCCTCAGCACATTTACTTTTAGGCTATGTAGGCCTACTCTGCACAATCCCCGTTAACATGTTTCTGAACACGCCTATGTAACTTAGCTTATTGTGTTTAATATACACCGATCAGCCACAACAATAAATCTGCCTGGTAACTTTAATGTTGTAGTGGACAGGCACAGCATGGGAAGAATTAAATGTTGGCCGTGATCGACACACAGCGCATCACAGCTGGCTACGTGGGGCTGTGTAGCCCCAGATCATTCACAATGTTCATGCTGGCCCCGTTCGCCACACTGATCGGTATAATACCTGGCTGTTTACATGTGTTTCATATTTACGTGAATGCAAACCAAATGCAAATGCATTTAGCATCCATTATTAGCAGTGTACACAACCCATTGTTTCTAAATGTGTAATAAGCATTGTAATACAGGTTACATGACCATGTTACTTAAAATCAGGTATGTGATAATTAGTTTTATAATTTTTTACATTATTAACTAAAATTAACGCCTTAGCTGCAGGCTCCCCTCCTTCTGTAACTCCATGGAGTTTCTTTAACAGCTAACGCATTAGCGTTATGCTCCCCTGCCACCACAGATACGATTTGCATTGTTGGCACCAGACAGTCTTCTTTCTGATTGTAAAGTGACATGTTCCCAAACTTTAAATGACTGGGCGTGCACTTTTTCCTGCTGTAAGTTGTTCCATTTTTCAAAAGTTTAGATAAACTTCACTGACGTAGTCACCCAGTTGCTGCCCCAGCTGTGTCTTCTCTTAGCCGTGACTAGACCCAACTAATCGATAATTAAGTTTGCTGCCAACTATTTTTATTATCGATTTTATCGAGAAGTTGTTGCAGCCCTACAGAAGAAAACTTGTCAGTTACACCTATGATTCAGTCAATATGTCATTATAAACTACATTCTTTGATGAAATAAGCAACATTCATCCTCAGTTATTTATAATTTAAATCTCACGAAACAGATATGTCATGCCATAAGCATTTGTGTAATTAAATTGAGAGGAAAATTTTGTTCCTGACTTGATTGAATAGAAAGTGAATTGAGGCCAATTTACAAACGAGGATAGCAATATTTTTACCATACATAGACTCAAGTACCCAAAATCTATTTGTGGGTTTTAGCAGGTGGGAACCTGATGCTGTAGTATTAATGTAAGGTATGTGTGTGTGTGTCTGTGTATGCAGACGCTCAGCGGGGAGCTGCTCACAACCGCATGGCTTCCACTAGCCTGATCCATGAGACAGACCTAGCGGTGTCCATCAACGACCTGGACAACCTCTTCAACTCAGACGAGGATGATCTGACAGTTAGTAGAGACCTTGGCTCATACATTCATATTGAGAATTTCACACTGGGTGTGGTCTGGCACAGTTTGTGTGTATGAGTGTGTGTATGTGTGATACTGATTGCGGGCCTCACAGATTTAGAGTATAATTGGAATGAAGATAGAGCAGTACTGACACTTTGACATACTAAAATGGTCAGATGCTTAAATACTTCTTTTTTTTTTTTGTCCACAGCCTGGTTCCAGGCGTCCTGTGAACGGAACAGATGACAAATTTGGCGGCAAAGAACCAAAGTCATCCACTTTAGACCCTGTGTCCTGCATTAGTATGTATCTCTACATCTCTCTACTGATGTCTCTCTTTTTCCTAGCTGTATGTGATGTGTCTCAAGTGTTCATCTAGAATCAGATTCATCATACCTGTGAGCCCCTTAAAAAGTAAGAGTGGTACCCTGAGATTTTGCCTGAAGTCACTTCATTTTTCCCTCTGCTCCCATTTCCAGCTAGGTGAAAAGGTATCATATCCTTAATCCACTAAATAAAATTAAAGCTTGTTCTGCTCACTGATACTCACTCTTGGCTTTGCCACCTAGTGGTGGAGAATATGTCTGTAAATAACTTCACATTGCATCAGAGTTTGGCTCATCGCTGACATCTCGGAGTCATGCAGTCACTCTTGTCTTGGTGTCTCCCTGCTACTACACTGCAGGCTGCCTATGATAACACCAGTCTTGCCTTAAATTTACATTGAATTTGTTGATTTGGACATAATTCCCAGTGTTATTTATTGTTAGGTTTGACCTCAGGGACACTAATGTAGAACTAAAGATAATTTAAGCACACGCTGTTTATTTTACTGTGATGCAAATTGGTCCCAGATCAGCCATTTTCCTTTTGTTTTATGACCAGGTCATTTTCAGTCCTAGTCTCTGTCCTTTTACCCAAAATGTGTTTGTCAGCCAGTTGAATGAATCTTGCAATTACAAGAAGTTTCAGACCTTGGATATTCCCCCTATTGTCTCTGGATATCTTTACATAGAAACTTTACACCAGGAAACTAGGGTAGACTCATCTGATGTAAATGAAGTCAGTATAAAAATAAGGTGCGGCTGCTTTTATTCACCTCTCAACTTAGCATAAACAGCTCTGTTGGATTCTGTAAATGTTCCCCATAATATACAGTGAAAAAATAAGCTGCCAACATGCAGAGGTAACTGTGACAGACTATGTAAACATTTCATCAGTCGTAGGAGAGATGCTCGCTTGACTTTAAGCACATCTAATAAGTATTCATCTGTTTTGCATTTGTATGATAGCTGCCTGTAACAACAGCTGCTTGTCATATTTGGTTGCATAACAAGAAAATATACACTAGCAAGCATCTTGACAGACAGCAGCTTAAAATTACATATCTCGTATTGTAATTCCCATAATTGTCACAAGTCATTCAGTTTTTTAGTTATTTTAAGAAATTGTTTTTCTCAGTGTCTCAAAATATAATTAAATGTATATCTTTTTCAGCGTGTTTAGCGATGTAAGCTATATGAGAAGGGCAGCAGTGTTGCATTAGACCTGCTATACTCATTCCTCTTCACAGTGTAATCCATTTGGT